GATCAGTGAGATGTCTAGAAATGCAAACACGCTTCTGAGCACAGAAACATTTTTTTTCCATGTCACATTCTCCCACCTGTGTTTTCATCCAAAGCAGTTTCATTGATTTCATTAGAATTACTTCTGATTTATCATGCTGTGAATGAGATTAGAACAAGGTCTTCTGGGGTCACTGTTGCTTTAGAAAGTTAAGGTAGGGGCAAGCATACTTCATGTGAAAGCAAGGTAATCTCCCTTTCACATTAAAATCTAGAGAAAGCAATTTGGAGAAAGCAAAACTTCCATATAGGACTGAAGTCCTTTATTTCCTGTTTTTCATTTCACACATTGTGATTCTGTGAAGTATTAATTCATAACTTGTCAATGTCGTTTTCAAGGTTGGAGGTTTCTTATTCCTTTCAGTCTTCATGTTAGTGTCTTTTTTAAGGAAGGATGTAGTTTTGCAAAGGGTCAGGCTTTGTTTTTTAGGTATACCCCATAAGAGGATTCAGATCTTTTTTCCACATTCTTCCTACTAGTGCAGATGTTCCCACTGAGAATGCTTACAGTAGATTTTTTTCCTCAATTTAAAAAGCAGTGCTTTCTTGGCAGGGCTTATCCTGAGAGTTAAACCTGCTCCTCTGTCTTTCTCCTGGCTGTATATTGGTAAATGGATAAAATGGCTTTTGGCATGTACATTTCAGAATCACCTGGTGGGTGATGCTGCAGTAGTGTATGACCCCATTTGGTCTTAGATTGGTAGACTATGTAATCATTGAGATATATCTTCAAAGATACACCTTGATTAATGAGGTTGAACTACACATACATTCATACTTACGCATGTGATAGCACACTTCGGGTCACATCACGTGGCCTGGCTGCATGGCAGCTATTTTCTAGTTTGCATTTTGTGATTTATGACAGAAACATATCACACTTAAGATACACACCCTCTGAAAGTTTTCAAAGTTGAAATGAATGAAATACATACATATAGAATACTTCCACTTGATAATAGGATCAAAAGTTATCTGTTTGAATCTCTGTGAAAAGTATTTTTATTTTGAATACTACTGTAAATCTGCTTCTGTCCAATTAGTACCATGTCAAATAGGGCCATAGGTGTTCCTGGTATCTAGCTCTTCTTTCATTCAGGTGAGTTTTCCACAAGAGTACATGAGATACTCTGTCCTGTAAAGACTTAAAATTCCCCTATTCTTGTAGGAATGGGAATATGATACAGCTGATTGCAATAGTATGATGTCACGCACTCTCTGATTGGGAAGTCCCCTCAAATCAGTGTACCTTCTTCTGTGAGCTCAGCACTACCCACTGAAATCTCTCCTGGTTGTTGGGAAATTGTGTACAAAAGGCACAAAATGTTGATTTTCAGTCACAATTTTAGAAGTTTACACTGCATCAGGAAGATGAGTTTTGATGAGTAGAACTTAATTCCAGCATGCAAAATGGCTGAGTAACTGAAGGAGAACCCTGCTTATTAGAAAGTCTTGCCTATTTCCAGGTAGGATGATAGGTCCTCTCTCTTCCATACCCTCTTCCTCATACTGACTAATGTTATGCAGTCACCAAAATATTTTTTTTCTGTCATGTTCAGATAGAGAAGCGCTCCACGGAGCACTGACTGCATTGCTTGGCAGGCATTCTTCATTTTCTGTGAGCTCTCTGCTACTAAGAGCCATAGGGCTCTGATATAATCAAACACTTGGCAGTGGAAAGCTGCCATGAATAACACTCCAGCTTTGTAGCCTTTGTCACTAATCAGCTCTCAAAAGCTCTTGGAATTAGGTGGATGAAGAAAATATTGCTTGAATACTTCTGTCTTTTTTGGAGCCCTTTGATTATGTGTATAAAGAGAGCATCTCTGTAAATAACCTTCCTCAGATTTAGATTTTCATTCTCATATTGGAATCTCTCGTGTGATAAACAGCAAGGCTACTGCTCAGTATGTGCCAACACCTGGGAATAATCATGCAAAAATAACAGTGAGAAACTGCAGAGCATCTGTTCTTGACATTAACTTTCCTCAGTTTGACAGACTGCCACCACCAGATGTTAGTCTTATGTGCCTTTTTTCCACTGGAGATGGCGGCCTTCCTGCCTCTCTCTTTGCCTCTAATAGCTTACATCAGTGCCTTTTGGAGAATTCATGAAAACAATTGTGTCACCACAATGATTGCTGAGAACCACCACTTTGCTGTGCTGACGTTACGATTGTCAAACAAGATGGGATAATTTTAAAACATGGAAAACTGGAGCAATATTTAAGTTAACATATCTTTTTCTTATGAGTATGGTCATATTTGTGCAATGAACATGAACTTCAGGGACAGTATGTGTCTACTTAATTCTTGACCAAAGGCTTTGTGTTTTAATTCAGAGCAACAACCCCTTTACTGCAATAGCTACCTTTTGGCCTTGGCCTGCGTGAGTGTTTCTAGGAGAAAACATGAACATTTATTAGCAGGTCTAAATAAACCAGAACTGAGTAAAAGTATTTGTAACAAAGAACTCAGTAGGGTTCACTGTCAGATCCATGCTTTCTTTAGATCCCCCTCACTGTTTATAATACTTGGAAAATGGAAGACACATCTGCAATTTTAGTCTATATTGGTTTAAAACATTGGCTAGTTCAGTATGGTAATAGCAAACATTTTCTTTTTTCTCTGGCTTTCTGATGAGTATGTTTCTTGGAAGAACGATGTTGCATGTGGAGGAGGTTTTGCACCGTTTTACAAAACACTGTGTAAACTATCAAACAGGCCATCCATCAGTATTTCTTGGCTTTAAAAGGAAATGTGGCTTAGCCTTTCTTAAGCAGTAGGGTTCATTTACCTGCTAGTTACTGATCCTGGTTCTTTTCTGACTTGAAGTAAGGTATGTTAAGAACTTCTCTAAATTACGCCTGGGGCACACACTGACCCCGTTTCCTTGACAGAGCCCCCATTACGCAGCCAGTGCTGGGGACCAGGGCTCTGTGCCATCCCACTGTTCGCCTCCACTTGGCATCAGACAGCCAGAATCTGTACAGCATAGAATCAGCATCCCCCTGTACTAGGCATACACAGTTATGGTTTTATGATATGCTTACTGTGAGATAATGCAAGTAACGGCTGCTGTTGGGGGTCAGTTGATACTTGACTTGCCTGTGTGCCTTCAAGTCTGCTCTGCGAAGCATTCTTGCCTGTGCTTTAACACCGCAGTTGGGATGGCATAAAGAGAAGAGTAAAGCTAGCACTGCTTGACTGCGTTGTTTTTATGCCGCAGGAACTCTGCTTTACTCAGTAGAGTTTTGCTGGTATTAACAGGTTTTTACTCCTAATGGATGCTTTTAGTATTCACGTTTTGCTTTGATTTTTTTTTAATACTTTGTTGTATCTCTAACCTGAAGATTATTTTAGTCTAAATAAAAAGAATCTCCCAAAAATGAGGAAGCGTTTGGAGAAGAATATGGTTATAGGTCCCTCCTCTCTCCTCCCTACTTGTAGTGTAACTGAGACCAGAATCCAGGCTGGTCATACAAAGATGGTACAAAACCTTTTTGTTAAGTATTTAGCACACTTAAGGCTTGTGTGCACAATTAAAAGTGTTGGCTCTCAGTTTTTATGTATGAATGATGCTGAAAGCAAAAGACTAGTTACAAAGGCCAATTGTAACAATTGTTAAAATTTTTAAAAAGTTCTTTTTAATTTTAGTTTTCCATTGTATTTTCTCATTATGAAAAGTGGCCATGTGATGAAGTGAGCTGATCTGTGATACAAAGGATATATAAATACAAGGATAATATGCTTTAGTCCTTTCTTATCTTTGTATCCCCATTTGCCAACTTGGCTTTAAAGAAAGCAGTTACCATTGATCTACATTAAGATACATTTGAATGAAACCTAGATGACAACATACAGTGAGTCATTATGGTTTTTTCTGTTGAGTCTTCTTACGGGGTCCAAAATTAAAAACAGCATAGACTTAAAGATGTTTGATCATCTATTTGAAAGAAGCTAGAAAGCAGCCATTTTTAAAAAATCATTGGATTGAAGAATGATTTCTTGGTGTGATATCTACAATCCAGTGGGCCAAGTAAACATGGATTTTAGGTGGTTGAACTGTTTGAGTGGGCACACTCATATCCTCATTTAGCTATCTTTTATGTGACAAAGGACCTTACGGCCACAGTAAAATACTGAGAACCCTCAGGCCAAATCTGTATACAGAAAATCTGCTACTGGGTATGTTGGAATTCATAGGGGAAAGATAACTTCTTCAGTTCATATATAGATATTGGCTCTGTGTGAATTGTCTCTGTAGAGACTGATTGTGTGGTGAGTTGTATTCTTCCAAATATGCATTTTGGAAACCCTGAGAAATTAGATAGTTTGAATAGATTCTAGTAGGAGTCCTCATCGGTTATTTCAAGTAGAAAGATGTTGATGTTACCCGTAAGCTGTTAGGTGGGTGATCCTAATGTATTTTAAATTAATGGATGACAAGAGATTATATTTGATGCCATATGGATATTAGAATTGTTGCAAGTGCTAATTTCTCTCCGATGCACATGAAAAAATGGCATTTATATGTCTTTGTACTGTCTTTATAAATGTTTTCCTTTAAATAGAAAATTAATTTCCCAGTTTGCAAAATTAATTTCCATCCACAAATCAGTCTCTGTCAGCACCAAGAAAAAAGTGGCCTTATTCCTTGTTTTTAAAATTTACTGTTATTTCTTATTAGCAGTCTATGACAACAGGAATAGTCTTGTGGAAACTTAGCAATTTGCCTTGTTTTAGCATGATAGGTATTTTTGTACTTAATTTTTTCATGTGCAGCATTTGGGCTGATGTAAAAAAATGAAACTCATAAGACTGAAATTACCCGTGATACACCAGATCCCTGCATACACAAATGCAGTCTCAGCAAAGTGGGCTTTTTTTTTTTAATCTTTTTTTTTTTTTTTTTTTTTAATCTCACAGCACCATTATAGTAAGTTTGTCTGTTGTTTTCAGGTTGATCCCCTGTTTACAGTGCCTGCACCTCCACCTCCGATTTCCAGCAGTATCACACCTCAGATTCTGCCTTCCTACTTTTCCCCATCTTCATCCAATATTGCAGCACCAGTCGAGCAGCTTTTGGTACGGACTCGTTCAGTGGGTGTAAATACTTGCGAGGTTGGAGTAGTAACAGAACCTGAATGCCTTGGACCCTGTGAGCCTGGGACCAGCGTGAACTTGGAAGGAATTGTGTGGCATGAAACTGAAGAAGGTAAATTGTTTTTTCATTAGGTTGGTTTGTCTGTGAGTATGTTAATGAGGAGGAAACTGCTGTATCTGCCTGGGTGCTAACTAAGGGCTTGCTAGCCTGTTGGGACACCATTATGTACAATGGCAGTCACAGCTTTATAGCTCAGCTAGAGAGTTTTTCTTTTAAAAACAAATGACAGGTTTTTTATGATTTAAGCAACTGTATTTTCCAAATGACCTACCATGTAACCCCAGTTAACAACAGAATTGTTTCCTATTGCTATATTGAGAAAAGCATATGAAGAAATAACTGATAGAATAGCATAAATGTGCTACTTAAATATACATCGTGAGGGGGGTATATATGATGGAAGTGGATATATGAATAGTTTAGATGAAGACTTAGAAAGCTGAATATTTTGGAATTCAGATACTATGATCAAAAATGCCAGCATTATGTAACAATAGAAGCCCCAGAGACCCCTCAGAAATTCAATTTAATGTGATTATTGTTTGCATTTTGGTTATTTGAAACATGCTTTAAGAGGAAAGTATTCTTGCTGGAAGAGAAGTGTTCCATCTGGTGAAGAAGTGCTATCTAAACCAGAGTGATTTCTTTAATATCCTTTGAAGGCATTTGGCCAAGTAGGAGTGCTGGAGAGCTTTGGGGAATACTAAATGTTGATTTGCTATGATTTAGAACAAAGAAAGTAGGAAGAGGATTATGCTGTGATATGCAGATTTTTCCATTTTGGTTTTCAAAAGCTCATTATTAAAATAACAGCTTTCTCCTGTTAATGCTAAAAATACTGCATGTGTACACTGAACTTCTGCAATTTTTGGTGTAATAATAGTGGATTTCTCCAGTTATAGCTGCTTGAGAGTCTTCCTGTGATTGTTCTTATGTTTGTTTTGAGGATTATTTAATTTTTAGTGATCTACCTCCTCAACAGTGAAACGAAGATTATTTACAAAAGGATATAATGAAAGAATACAGCAGTGCATTGCTCCATGATAAATCCTGACATCCTTTGGACATACGCACAACGGCACTTGGTCCTTTGCAGTGATATATAAGGCCTCACCAAAGTGCTCTACACTGTCCTCTCAAAAATCAATAGAGAGAGTCAGATTTACTTGCCTTTATATGCTTTCATCCATCCATCTCTCTCTCTGTATGTCTACAGCAGATTCATAAGGTAGATTGATCCTTTTAGATTGTTTTTAAAGCACAGTATAAATTCTGTTTTAAAATATCCCTGCAGAGATGACTGACCTTAGCAGCTCCAATCTTCCTTAACTGGCCTGTATTAACCAGTTGGAATGTGTGGGCGTTAACTGTGTTGACATGAAGGAGCAGTAGCTGTTAATAGTGTTATTCTTGCTGAATAAACTAAACTTCTGACCCCCACTGAATTTAAGAAGCCTGCCTTGTTAAAGGTTTGGCACCAGAAATGAAGTATTAAAAAAAGTGCATTCTGGTCAGGATGACATTCCATTTACCAGTTTCTCAGCACTCTACTGGTTTAAAAACTCTTCTTAGTTAATAGAAATTAACTCCCTCAATCTGTTCCCAATTTTTCTAGAACAGTTTTCTGAAACACCTCAGCGTTCAATGATGGCATGTTTGAGTGAAATGGTTTTGAATATGCCTGTTTTCACAGCTTTAGAAATACTGTTTGGCAACACTACAGCTATGAGTGACTACAATAATAGATAAAATGGGATTCTAATATACTCTAGAAATACAGCTAGAATGTAGATTAAGAGACTGAAGATAATTGAGATGATTTCATATTGTATGGTTTGTGCTGTGCTCTTTGTGTTTTACAGTTTCAGACCCTGCTGACTGAAGAAAATAACATAAATTTTACTCTGGTTTTCCCAGTGTTCACCATCAACACTGTATTATGAAAAATGAGTTCCTAATGATAATTTTTGCATTTTAATTAAGTTTTGATGTTTGGGGCACACATATATGTATATATTTAGCTGTTTTCAAGTTTTCTGACATGTTCATGAAAGCAGCTATATAGCAGCTTGCATGAAGCCATTTCTGCCAAATTTTAGAAAACAGGGTGCAGATGGGCCTTCTATTTATCTTTAACAGAAGGAAGATTATCAGATACTCATTTTATCCAGTTATGATTTTGACTTTAATTAGGCCAGAACATGACCTTTCCTAAATTGGTGTAAATCCACAATACTCTAACTGAAGGCTTTGTAATTGGTGACATCTAAAACCATCTTGATGTTCATAATGACCAACTGAATTACAGATTTCTTTTGTGATGCCCATATGTTTCATTCATACTCATTCCCTTCACTGCTTTCCAAAACATAATAAAAACACACATGCAAACTGACATCTATCTGGCTGTCTATATATCCGATAACTTTTTAACATAAAACAATTCTAAGAAGCTAAGGTATGAAAATTTCTGACTTTGGCTTGTGTTTTGAGATATTTGAATTATTTTGTATCTGATTTAGCCATTCTGTAAGATGAGTTGTGAGGTGATTAGAATAGGCTTGTAGGATGTCTGCATACTCTATGGCATATGGGAACTATGAACCAAATGTGCTGCCGAGCAGCGTTCATATGCTGCAGCAACTAGCTGTGGGAATGCAAATACAGAAAGGATGTGGTGATCACGTTATTATAGTAAGAATAGTAGAGTGAGTAGAGAAAGATGAAATCAGATAGGTTATGTAGAACTCATTATTAAATATAATACATGCTTTATAGAGGAGAAGGCGTATACATCCATATTTTGAAGGTTTTTGGTATCTGAAATAACCAGTTTTAGGAATGCTACACAAGTTGTCACCTTCTGTTGCATTTGTTCTTCAAGGTCAGAAAAAAGATGATGATTGGTTTTATTAGTCATATTTTTAAGATAATTACCTCAAAGGAGAGGAAAAAAAGCAGCACTGCATTTCAGACAAAACTGTGGCAGATTAAAGACAGTGGTTTTACTACAGCTCTTTTCATTTATTCCACACCAATCTATTCAGTTGACTTGATCAGCAGATTTAATGAATCAGACCGTTTTTCCCAGAGTGTTTCAGTTTTAAGCCATGTAGAGGGAAGCTGGCATCTGAAGTCTGTCACATTTTATTACAGGGCATTGTAACTAACCATAGCTGGTTACTAGTATAATTGACTGAGACTGCTGGTTACCACCTGGGTCTCAGACGCTACTAAGTTGTGTAGTGTTTAATTTCTACATATGTATGCTGTAGGCATTTTCATCTGCATAATGACCTTGTTTGGATATGACTTGATAATGTGTCCAAAGTGGTGGTAACAGCTGTAGAACAGAATATTGAAGGAACTAGTTGACACTACCCTGTAGTAGTGGAATGAGAAATGGTTATGGGCAGGTCAACCTGTAAGCTGGCAGCTGATGCGGGTATTTGACACCAGAAGCTACCCTCCACTAACAGTTAAAGTCCTTCACAAAAAGCAGCTTGGTAGTGTTATTGGAGTGTATTTTTTTGTTTGGTTCCTCTGATACTCTGGGGAACAGCTGCTAAAAGTCTGTATTTCTATACTCAGAAATAAGGTTTATGTAGAATCAGGTACTTGGTAAATTGTGTAATTATCTTCTGGGAAAACAGTTTTGAAGAGAGCAGTAATTGTTTCTTACTGCCTCGAGGAAATAAAAATGACCCAGAAAAAAGGGAAACCACCAACCAACTTTCTAAACTGCTTAGAGCTTGCTTCTTTGTTCAGTTTCTCACACGCAGTTGCCCTGGGTCATATCCTGGTTTTGGTTCTGCATCAGTAGTAGAGTCTGCCTTTAGATGTGGGAAGCACTAGTTCTGATGATGTCTTGTTTGAAAACTGTGTAGGAGACAGCCATCCATCACCTTGCTGCCTTTGTGTGCAGAACAACCTGTTCTACATGCAGTGTTGGAGTTCTTGCAGTGCTGCACTGACATTCTTCCTCTTTGTGCAGTTTGGCCTGTTGTTGTTCAGTAACAAATAATGGGGAAATGAGTTGTATTTTTTAAAGTGTCCTGTTATCAGGGTTAACTTGTTGATTTTTGTAACTTGAGACTGGTTGTCAAAGATAAGAAATAGGAATCTGCTGGATCTCAGCAATCTGATGGGATCATCTCCAGGGTATTTCAAATTTGTTCTAGCATCAGTTCTGACACTATTTTGCAGAAATTTTCAATAGAAAGGAGAACACTTAGATGACAAAGAGGCTCTTGGTTGTGTGTGGGTTTCCCAGCCTGCCATGTTTGCAACTAATATGCATAGATGTTGTTTTGAAAACTTAGCTGTTGCACAGAGCTGATGTGGATTCCTCCCTGCTTTACTATGTGATGTTAGTTTTGCAAAGACTATTTTAAAAGAACAGTCTGTTTTAAATGTCTTTGGTTATATATGTGTTTGTACCTGTGTGTATAAGTAAGGGTGTGTATGTGTCTATAGGAATAGAATGAGAAGTAGTCTGACTGCCTCCAATTCCCCTTAGCAATTTTTGTGGTTTAACAACCGGATTTTCCTACTTTCACAAATACAAAGGCATGGTGAAACAATGAAACTTGTAATGTTGAAAGCCGTGTCAAATATGTAAGTAAACAAATACAGAAATTAGAGATTTAAGAAAAATCTGTTTTATCAAAGAACGTTACAATAATTCATAGAAATTAGATCAACATGATTGAATCACACTGTTGTCTTGAGCTCAGGCAAGGTCTATAGAGAGAGGTAATATCCTTTATTAAGCCGAGTGATACAGTTGTAAAAACCAGGTAAGCTTCCAGACTGGCTGCATTTATATTCTGTCCTTTCTGTGTGATATAGACCATTGACTTGCTGATACAGGAAGCAGTGGTTTGTTAATGTTAACCACCATATTCAGTTCAGAACTGAAAGACAGTGGATGTTTTTATAGGAGAGAAGCATAAAGATATCCATTGCTCAAAAATCAGGCTTTGTGATGTCCATGTTACAGAGAAGCGGTTTGTGGAGGAGATAGGGGTTTTTTGCTAGCTACAATAACA